CAGTCTCGGCGAAGAGCTTTGCAGAACAGCCAGGTCTGTACTTTGATTTTTTCCCTTCTTAGCGTCATTCAAAGCGTGTCGAACACGGAATCGAGAAAAAAATACTATAATTCTGGGCTCGCTTATCCACCTCGCATTTTAATGGCGCTTAAACTGTTAAGTATAGTCGAGGCAGTTAGCTTGCGCTCTTGGAAGATGAAAAACTAGGACGGGGAGACACGAAGGAATACATTCGTCTCTGTTTAGTGCAATGGATCAACTGCAGTGAAACTGCTCCATCAGAGGGTGAGTAGTGAAATGTCACGTACTTACCGATGATCTGAAGGTTCAATTGATCGAAAGACATGGAAGGCGTTGGCACAGAGTCATTCACCAACCTTCGCCGATTTATTCGACTCCGTTCAACACAATTCCACCTGCCAGCTTCCTTTTCGGATATCCATGTGATAAGTAAACGTGATTCCAGCAAATTCGAATCTACCCATCGAGAAGAAATGAAGGTGCCACCCGACTGAACTCGACTGGTTCGACGGCGCACGCCATTGTGGTACCATTCTAAACTGATGAGGGGATCACGTTTGGCCTCCATGGAGGAGAAATTCGCCCGACAGATGAGTTCCAGTGGCATCCCGTAAAAGGCCAGTTGGGGACCCAAGATTGTCACTGTTTGAAGAATAGCATCTCCATTTAGTGTAAAAGTCTACTGCTAAACAGTATGATAGAAAGAAAGTGCGAAATGTGTACATCATAGGCGATGAAAAACGCCTTGTACAGGAACTCTAACCTAATAATCGCCTATGCAAGGCTCTCCCTTTGTTAATCCACCTGGGAAGAATGAAATGGAAGCCAAAATCGCTGCCGTTGGCTGTTTAAACGACTCCCTTTATGACTGGTTTAATCGCCCATTTTACGTCTCTTAAATTGGGGAGAGGTTGTCTGATTTTACTTGTCTTTTGCCTCACACACAAAACCTCGCGTAGAAGGGATTTAGTGCACAATTAACCTCCTGCAGGTTTTGATGAATTTGTGTGTCTGAAATCGCAGCAACAATTCACACCTGACGGTTGCCACTGCAGACGATTCTAAGCGGCACTGGGTCTATCCTACTGAATCGAAAAGATCCCATCCACAGAGCATCTTTTCTCACAATTTCATAAGTGCGTATATACTTTTTGGCTCCAAATGCAAAGCGTAAAAATTATTACTTGCTAGGTGGTGTTGTAGAAATAGACCTCGAAAGTCATGCTCTTATCAGCTAAATGAGAAAAGTTGCAAATGTGGTTGTTAGCTATCTGCGGAGTAAATAGGTACAAAGCTTTAAAAATAGACTTCTACTTGGAGTTTGGCTTGTCCTGTGTTTCACAACGTGATTTGGTTTTGTCGATCGCGAACACAACTATGACAATGGCGAATCTCAACTCTCTGAAGAAATGTATAAGAACTCTGCTGATTAGTGCTATAGCTAAGTATCGAAAGAATCAGTGTGCTCCGCTTTCATATTTTCATTTTCAGGAGGGACACCCATGAGTAAGCCAATGGGTAATTAAGGGCGCTTCAAATACTGGCAAAAATGAGGAATTTATGCAGACTACAAGACCTTTCAGGTAGCGAAAACGCAAATCAGAGGTTAAGACTACAAAACTGTGAGTTGTGCTTCTCAATCTTTTAATCTACCATCAATGGTGGCATTATGTTACTTCATCCAAAATTTTGAGAATCTTAAAAAGAGCCAATGAAACGTAAATGTGAATCATTGATTTTATGACCAATTACAAGCCTCCATCGATGTTTATCAACCAATCATTGAGGTGGTCCAATCAGAACGGCAGACCGCCCGGCGAACCTCTGCAAGTAAAGCTATTAAAACTCTGCAAAGGGATAGCACACACTAGAAAACCAAAGAGTTTTGGGTAATACTCGAAAGGAATAGACAGCTCTTAAACCTGGCTTAAGGGAACCACATTCGTTGCTCATTGGCTCTGCAGACGATAGGTTGCATAACACCAAAGGTAAGTACGCACAGGCCAGGTAGGAGGAAAAAATATTGCGAAACTGCTACACGTTACGTTGGCGATTCTGTAAAATCCACGGTAGCGATCTCTACACCGTTAAGTTGGATAGGACTCAAAATGCTGTGACATTTGCAACCTGCAAGTGATTGTTCATGGCCCAGTCAAACAATAGATTTCTCCTCTCTGTTGATTATTTTTACAGCTATAAGAAATTTAAGCTTGATGGTCAATTTCTTAAGCGTTTAAAGATAATTAAAAACCTTACTTGGATGGAAGAAAAGTTGTTGCTTTACAATCATTGATCACCCAAATTACTATACAAAAAGAACTCCAAAGACGAGAAAGTCAGGCTATAAGTTGAACAGTAGAGTGGGTGCATAAATAAATATATGTTCGAAACACAAAGATATCAAACAATAAAGGGTTAAAAGGCTGGTGTCTAGCACAAACCATCAAAAATTTGACTTTATGTTAGCTGAGAAGTTGCCAATTTTTGAGCAGTCTTGTTTGCTTCAAATGACGTCCGAGCACCACGTCTATCACCCACCCAAATAGCACAATTAGAGATGTTATACCCAATTTGGGGATCTTTGTCACTTATCCTTTATTGTGGACAATGGGTTTTTTGTTAGGCGAGAGGGTGAGAATCTAGTCTGTCGCTCCTGATGTGTGCTTGCATCAGCGCGTGTGGCCGGATGCTGTCCACGCACTTCCCTTCACTATCTCTGTTGCTATCCTCATCTCAGATCATCTAATCAACTAAGGTGAAGTGAACTTTTGTTGAGCATTTACAAGCCCAACTTCTCCCTTTTTAATTTAATTAGGTAAAACAGGAGCGCAAGGTAGCGGAGTAATTTTCCGTGGGCGTATATCAGGCTAAAATTCTTTTGATCAACAAGTAACCTAAAAGCAGATTTTTAAAGCAAGCTAGGTCTACTACTTTATAAAAAGGAGGTGTTGCCTTTACCCCAAACATTACTGGCTTAAAGGCCTGTATTTCAAAACAAGACCCAATCCTGCATTAAAAAGGGCTGAGAGAACTTTAAAGAAACTCATTAATTCCCCAAAATCTCCTCAAATAGTCTTGCATCTTCACTTAAGAATTTCAAGCATTAATTTAACAGACCTTTAAGCATTAACTTAGAGTGGCATAAAAACAAAATTGTGAGGTAAATGAAGTCAAGAATCGATTGGACAATGTCAAGGTCATCCACGATGAAACGAACCAATTGAAACTAAAAGAGGCTCAAAAAGGAAATTAAGGAGAACAGAGAAAATGAGCACGAAATTGTAAGCCTTTTGTCTTAAAATTTATTGTTCCATCAAATATGATGCCTTGCATGGAATCATTGAAAGTCTAGATTTTACTCGAAATGTGAGGAATTATTCCGTGTTCTATCGACGTCCATGGCATCAACAAATGGGGGCACCTACATAATGCCGCTTAATCTTAGACCAAAGTAAGGTGAATATTGGCCTCGTTGCCATCCACTTTGCAGTTTACTGACTCCGTTAGCGTTTTAGGTAACGCTTGTTAAACATTTAGTAATAATACGATCTAATTCACGGAATGTGTTTTATGCGTCCTCTAAAGCAGACCTTTAGCTCCCTCCCCTCGAGGCTGTCCATAAGATCGACAACACATGTTACACACAGAAATTATGCCCTAATGAAAGTCCTGAAGTCATGCGATCCCACAAATTCAGTTTAACAGTGCAATAAAGCCTAGCTCTCCTTGCTGCAAGGAAAAATCTCGACTTTGTCCAGCTTTTTTAAGTTATGTTTTCGTCAAGACGTAGAAAGGAAAAATGCGAAAGCCTTAGCTGCTAAAGCAAGAAAAGAAAACAACAAAACAGAAGATGAGGAGTAATTTTGTTTGGATTAAGCGGCACCGGTGAAAGAATTCCCATATCTCTCAAATCATGAATAAGTGACGGAGAAATACATCGTTCAATATTCTGAGTGAACAAACATTTTTTTCACCCGGAAACGCGAAACTTCTCACTTTATGAGTGATCTTGTCCAAACAAGGCAAGAGAAATGACAGCCTCAATAGCCTAAAATCGTTACTCTGAAGGCATTTTTTTATAAATCCAAAATATCAACCGATTTCAGTAGGCATACGAGTAGTATTTAAGGTTTGCGTTATGAAACACACCTGACGTCTTGACATTGGACGTGGACACGTCAGAGTCCATGGCCTGCATTGCTAGAGACGGTTTTTTGCCTAAAAAGGGACGCAAATTAAGCTTCACCTTGTGAGTGTAGCAGAAGACACGAAGTGCAAAGCCCTCATTAGCAAGTCATCGGAAAATGGGATAAAGGCACAACCTTTTCCCCATCAAGGCTGCCTTGAATGAAGTCAAAATTCACACTGGTCTTGGGCATCTGCTCCATGTAGCTCTCCCACTTTTAACTGTCAACGTCACTTCCATTCACAATTTACTAGGGTTAGACTTGACATTTTCTTTTTACTACAAGAAAATTAGCTAATTGAATGGCTTAGTGAATGTCTTTTGAAATGAATTGAGACGCTACAAATAGGAGGGAAGGAGCTTCTAAAGACAATTCTCACCGTAAATTGCGCGAAAAGTTTGCTCAAAGGGGTCCTCTTTTTCACCACACGTTTGGTTGGCACAGTTGGATGGTACTTGTGGACTGCTTCGACAGCGATACGTCTTGGCATCACTTTTGGTTGCGTTGAAAATTGTTAGTTGACTCAAAGCCTCGTGGGGGCAGAGGACAACGATTCGAGGGTCTGGGGGGAAGACGTGGGTGCCCACGGCTAGGGGATAGATGAGGTCGGTGCGTTCCCATATCACCTGTATAAGCAACAACATCAATTTTTAGTTTTCAATTGAACTATTTTTTTTCAGGGCTTTTTAAGGT